CTGTGTTGCTATGATACACGGTGGTACACCAAAGTTAAATCCCCTACCCGCCCTCAATCACCACCTCTCGCTCACCTCGCCTCGCCGCTGGCTTGCGCTGTGTCAACTGTGTGCGAAGTCGCCCGCGGAACTACCTTTTGTCCGCACGTAGAGAACTATGAGTGCGTAGAACAGGCTAGGCGTGCGTAGTAATCACGGGCCAAGATGGGTGGTTCGGTAAAGTACAATCCAGCCAGATGTAGATCTAGGCTTGGCCTAGTCTAGATCTAGCTTGAGATCCAGATCTAGATCTAGATCTAGATCTCATTTTTAAAAATAAATTTTGTTCTGAAATTTCTCATCACTTCACAAACTGTAGACAAGCTTTACTTTCGCGGGTCCTTTGGCCTGTCTGCATTAAAAAAGGAACGCTTTGCTTTAACTTTAGGCTTTAAAGGCTTTATATCTAGAAATCTAGGCTTTAAGTTTAGCTCATTAAATTATTTGCCTCAAGAATGCTTTATAATTTTGCATGGCGCTTATTGGCTAGGGACCAACATGTCTGTGTGTGTGTGTCCTATTTGTTTTGTTGTTGTACTGTTGTTGTTTTTTTTTAAATCTTAGATTCTAGATCTGGTGATCTTGTAGTTCTGTTCGTTTAAGTCCATGATACATTCATTTGTTTACATCCAGAGAAGAAATCCGGAAATCTTTATGACCAAATAGGCAACACAAAGAACGGGGATGGAACCTAACTGCAAAACATCAAATTATATGGTAAAATTAAGGGGGTCATGCCCCCTGAATCCCCCCTCCATGTTTTTATAGGTCACAGGGCAAGCCCCCCCCCTGAAACCCCCTACTCCTGACTCGTGGGGCCCAAACCGGTGAATAATAATTGGGGGAGGCTAGGAACTATCGAAAAAGGGCCATTCTTTGCTTGATTTTTAAAATTTTCTGGCTTTAGTAGTGTTTTCTTCCAGCCTCACGCTTAGTTCACTCCTCAACGATTACCTGGCAATTCAGGGTCTCTGGCTTTGGACTTTAACGAACGAAACTACAAAATCACCCTAGATCTAAATCTAGAGACCAAGCTTAAATTTTTATCTTGCTTGATCCAGTAGCCTTCTAAGAATGTTTTACTTTTTGGGCCTTATTATTTGATTAACATTGCGCTAGATCGAGTGACAAATTGGGTTTCATATATATACTGACGGTCATTAAAAACGCACCATTTACAAAACAATTCAAATAATGGTGAGGTGTTTATTTTTTTTAACAGATTGTATACCATTGCATTCTATGGTCATTTTGTAAACATTCACAGCTGAAATGAAATGAAAAGGTCAAATGACACCTCGAGCACAAAAACATGAAGAAACAAAAAAGTCATTTTTCAAAAATCAGAGAGGAAAATTTAGTTTTTATCACCTGCATTAGTATCGTGTAAGTCCTCCATTGGTCTGAATACAATGTACAGGATTGGTAGCGTCTTCTCGTGGAATTGACAAGAGTCTGAAAGAACACCTGTGGAATCTGTACCCACTCATTTGTCAAAGAACGCCTCAGCTCTTGGAGATTGTGTATATGTCTTCCACGGGACAAACGGCGGCCAAGCTCGTCTAAACACCTGCTCCATTGGTGCCATGTCTGGAAACAGTGATGACCAAGCCAGGACATCAATGTTGTTTGCCTGCAGAAAACCAGTGGTGACTCGAGCGGTGTGGGGGAGTGCGTTGTCGTGTTGGAATAACTGCAGCTCTGGGTGTTGACTAAATAACGCAAGACGTAGTGGCATTCACAGGCTGGTCAAAGAAGTACAGTGGTGTGCAATAATCGTAGCTGAACACCCCCCATACCATGACGCTGCCTCCTAGCCATCTATCGACCTCAAGCATGCAACAGTTGGCATAGCGCTCGCCGGGGCGTCTCCAGACCCTTCTTCTCCCGTCAGCATGCGAGAGGGCATATCGACTCTCTTCAACTGTAAATGCTGCCTGGCCTACTGCAAACGTTGTTGACGGTACCTCGGTGTCAGGACAGGATCAACGTACAGGCGCCTGGCCGCAAGTCCTGCTTCCCGCAAACGGCGTCGCACGGCCCATTCAGATACTGGTCCACGCCGACCAACCACTTGACGACCTGTTTCCAGTGCTGGCAGGAAACGGTCACGAAGGTGACATTGGCGAATGTAACGGTCTTGCGCTGGTGTTGTAACTTGGGGTTGGCCGCTCCGTCGCCGATCTGCTGTAGATCCAGTAGCTGGATTTCCTTGAGACACCGGATAACAGTTCAGTGGCTACAGTTCATGTGCCTGGCAACTTGCCGTGCTGCCATTCCGGCTTGGGGCATTCCAATTGCCCTTTCACGTTCTTTCATGGAAAGTGGCGGCATTATTTACGCAGAAAAAATCTGTCGCACAGAGTAAAGAATTTTGTTATGGGCGAATACAATCACTCCCTAACAGCCAAAAAGTCTGTTTCGCTAAGCAAATTTTAGGTTTGAGGTCGACACATGGGATTTTTGCATGTTGC